TAACACTCTCTATAACTCCCAACACTAACCCTTACTGTAACCCTAACACTAACCCATCCAGTAACTCTAGTACTAACCATTCCTGTAACCCCAATATTAAACCTCACTGTAACTCTAACATCAACCCTCCCGATACCCCCAACATTAACCCATTATGTAACTCCAACACTAACCCCCCTGTACTTCCAACACTATCACCTCCCTGTAACCCCACACTAAAACACTAACCCTACCTGTGACCCTAACAATAATGTAACCCTCACTCTACCCTTCCCTATATAAATTTAATCCTTCATTTAGATACTTATCTTTTCTGTGCCAGAAACCTCTTCATTGAAGACCAACCTTTTTGTGCCAAAAGCCTTGGTGCCAAAAGTCAGTGCTGAAATCTCTTGCTTTGCCCCTCTATTGCCCTAAAGTGGAACATCTGTGTATCATTCATTACAAAACTACAACTTTAAACTGGAAAAAAGTGTGATTTTTTTATTTTCTATTTCTTATGTCTTCTTACCTGTGTACGAAAATAATAAAACAGCATAAAGTGATTCTTGGGTGACAGTACCTGCAAAAGAAAGCCTTACTTGTCCTCTCAAAAAATGATACACTGTATACAGAGTGTATATGTATAAATTATTGACAAACTGGAAGGCCCTTTTTATACTCCATAAAAGGGTTCCAACCATCCATCCTGAGGTGGTCAATAGCAAATGACTCTTCGATCAGAAGTGGCAAATCCTCGGAGAATCTGACATTCGCCCTCTATAAGCAGTCATCCTAGTGATATGACACCATGGTTCATCTAGACACAACGTTCATTCCTCCAGTCTGGTGTTGCTGTCTCATGACTGTAATTTAGAATATTAATCCCAGCCAGGGGATGAAATTGCAGCACATCAAAACTTCAGTTCATGTTAATTAATGGTGAATTAATGAGGGGCGTCTGGGTTAATTCTTTCGAGATCTGTCTGGGAATTAAGCACATTCATTAAAGTAACATGACGACAAAACACACTTAAAACAAACTCTTTTCCAGGCGCCTTATGTGGAGGAAGAGCTGCTTTCTTCAATGGAATGTCCTCCCCAGACAAAGCACATGGACCTGCAGCCATTCCTCTATTACAGAAAGCGGGGTGTTAAGCGGGGTGTCAAGTGCATGATGCTAAATAACGTGCAACACTTTCAAGTATTTATTACTTCTCACAGAGATCACAGTAATACCCCTGAAAGTGTCTTCATCTCTTTAAAAAGGACGGCACCTTCTTTGTTTAGACATTATCCAGGGTTCCTGAAGCGAGATGCTGGCAAAATCATGAAGTTATGGCAAATTTTGACTTTTTTTGTTGAAGCCAAACTTGGCATTGCCATTGGCCATTGAGGCATCCCTCACAACAAGGTCTTGTTCACCTTGTATCTGTGGAGCTGTTTGATCAGCATTATTTAATGCCGACAGTTGTATTCTATACCGGTCAGTCATTATGACAACCCACCATAACCTGTCTAGGCATGGACTCCACTAGACCTCTGAAGGTGCTGTGGTATCTGGCACCAAGCCGTCGGTAGCAGATCCTTTAAAAAAGACGGCACCATCTTTGTTCAGACATTATCCAGGGTTACCTACTAGTTCCAGAAGTGAGATGCTGGCACAGCCATGAAGTCATGGCAAATTTTGACTTTTTTTGTTGAAGCCAAACTTGGCATTGCCATTGGCCATTGAGGCATCCCTCACAACAAGGTTTTGTTCACCTTGTGTCTGTTGAGCTATTTGATCAGCATTATTCAATGCCGACAGTTGTATTCTATACCGGTCAGTCATTATGACAACCCACCATAACCTGTCTAGGCATGGACTCCACTAGACCTCTGAAGGTGCTGTGGTATCTGGCACCGAGCCATCAGTAGCAGATCCTTTAAAAAGGACGGCACCATCTTTGTTCAGACATTATCCAGGGTTACCTACTAATTCCTGAAGTGAGATGCTGGCACAGCCATGAAGTTATGGCAAATTTTGACTTTTCCTGTAGAAGCCAAGCTTGGCATTGCCATTGGCCATTGAGGCATCCCTCACAACAAGGTCTTGTTCATCTTGTGTCTGTTGGCCTATTTGATCAGCATTATTCAATGCCGACAGTTGTATTCTATACCAGTCATTATGACCACCCACCATAACCCGTCTAGGCATGGACTCCACTAGAACTCTGAAGGTGCTGTAGTATCTGGCACCAAGCCGACGGTAGCAGATCCTTTAAAAAGGATGGCACCATCTTTGTTCAGACATTATCCGGGGTTACCTACTAGTTCCTGAAGCGAGAAGCTGGCACAACCATGAACCATGAAGTTATGGCAGATTTCTACTTTTCCTGTAGAAGTCAAACTTGGCATTGCCATTGGCCATTGAGGCATCCCTCACAACAAGGTCTTGTTCACCTTGTGTATGTTGAGCTGTTTGATCAGCATTATTCAATGCCGACAGTTGTTTTCTATACCGGTCAGTCATTATGACCACCCACCATATCCTGTCTAGGCATGGACTCCACTAGACCTCTGAAGGTGCTGTGGTATCTGGCACCGAGCCATCAGTAGCAGATCCTTTAAGTTGTGTAAGGCTGGCCATACATAATACAATTTTCTTGAGAATTTTGCTTTAGATTTACCAAAAACCATATAATATGAGGTCAAACCTAAACAACACTTTTAGTTGTATCCAATCAGGCAGGCCCGTGCACTGCACAGTTGAAAGCAAATCTAAAGGAAATTGGGCAGAAATTGGACAGATAATTGTAAGAACATTGCATAGTGTATTGCCAGCCTAAGTTGCGAGGTTGAGCCTCCATGGATCGGACTCCTTTAATAAATACTACACTTATATACCGAACCCTGGGCTCCTGTGGTGAGCATTTCTCTCTAGGGGGATTCCCCTTTTCGGTTTGAAGTTTTATTAGTGTTTGTTGGAGAAGTCCGGTCTGCACTTATGGATCTTTGAGATCTTCATGTGATCAGCTTTAGTCCTCATGCAAGGTATCATACTCACAATGGACATATTAACACAGGCATGTCAAACTGAACAAGGTGTATGATCCAAACAACATCTGAGTCCATACGATGGAACCCTGGATGACCAACTAGCTAACGCGTTTCGAGGACACAACCTCTTCCTCAGAGCCAACGTTGGTTGAGGTTGTGTCCTCGAAACGCGTTAGCCAGTTGGTCATCCAGGGTTCCATCGTATGGACTCAGATGTTTGGATCATACATCTTGTTCAGTTTGACATGCCTGTGTTATTATGTCCATTGTGAGTATGATACCTATTTTTGTTTCTGTAATAAATTATTTTAAACGATGATGCACTAGGTCGGTGCGCCCTTTTTCTGTTTCTCCATTTGTATCCAGTGTATTCGGACCACCCCGGTCTGTTGAGGGCAGCAAGCAGTGCATATTCCAGAAAATTCCAGAACATTCCTATTGGGTCTACTGAGTCCTTTCCTAGCGCAGGAGTAAAGTGTTTGTTGTGTTGGATTAGTCCTCATACACACGGGACGTTTTGATAACGCTGGTAACGTTAGCTGTGTAAAGTCACGTTAAAAACTGCAGTTTTTTTTTGCTCTGTTAGCATTTTGCCGCATTCAGCAGCATTTTCCCATGTTTTTCCGCGTTTGCATTTCTTAGCATTTTTTTTTTTTTGTCCAAAAATGCTGCTTTGTGGCATTTTACCGTGTTTTGCCACGTATTTCAACATTAGAGCATTTTTACAGCTAAAAAACTCCTCTAGAAACCCACTAGTTCTGGCTTTTTTTTCCAGCCAAAAAATGTTGATTCCAGTCTATGTGTGTATGGACACATAGGATAACATGCTGGGGGGTTTACTGGCTGTAGAAAAAGACATCAAAAGCCAAAAACAGCCGCTGTAAAAATGTCCCGTGTGCATGAGGACTTAGCCCTGGTTCACATCTACTGTATGCAGCCGTGCTGGCCGCGTTTTGCGCGGGCATGAGAGCCCATTAATTTCAATGGACTCCCGTGCCTCTGATACGCAGGGAAAGAAGTCCCTGCATTCTTCTAAAAACGCAGCCCGCACGGGAAACTTCAGTTCCCAGTACGGTTGCGAATTCCAGTGCAGGCAGTGTGCCATTAAAACTAATGGCACCGGCCTGCGGGTCCGCATTCCTCCATGCGGGTGATACGTCTGCATGGATTTTCGTGCAGATCCGCAATGGCACCACAGATGTGTACCTAGCCTTTATGCTACTATACCAGTAGCTTTCTGGTGAGTGCATATCCATTAGAGGTGGTGGATTCCTAAACTGGATTATGAACACTATTTTGAGCATCCTACGCTGGTATGGCTGTGCCTTGTAGTACCACGGACACTCTTTATACTCCATTTGAATTTTGGATAGATATATATGCATCATATTTATACTATTGTACGCGGTTTATTATAATTAGGTGTTCACACTGTTCACTTTTATACTGAATGATGACATTTAATATTTAGCGCTGCACTTTATTGTATATGTTTTGTGGGTTTTGTTGCGTTTGCCCTTTAGCTGCTCTTAATTTTCAGCGCTCGCCATATATTTTGTATTTATTATATATATATATATATATATATTTTTTTTTTTTTTTTTTCTTAATGGGATTTTACGTAATCTTGAAGCCTAAAATATGTATTGTGTACAAAAAAAGACTCTTGCAGTGAAAGGGTTAAAGGGCTAGTTGGGGGGAAACCTGGGTGTCAGGAAGGAATGAGCCAGGCGGTGATGACACCCTTTGTATTTTAGTGTGTGGTAGGCATAAGAGGCGGGGTTATTTGGATATGGGCGGAGTGTAGAGAAGGACAGGCAGTGCTGGTGTTTTATTCTTTCTTTTCTTCACCTGACTTCCCGCAGTTGTAATCTCTGTATTTCTTTTTCTTCCTCTTACAGAGCCAGCTGTCCCAGGCCCTGAATGGACTGTCTGATCGAGCGAAGGAGGCCAAAGAATTCCTAGTTCAGCTAAGAAATATGGTACAGCAAATCCAGGTACACTTTTTTAAGCTGATGGGGGGGGGGGTCATGAAAACTGGAAGGAAGGGAAATCTCCCCCCCCAATGGGACACGAATGGCAAAAGAAACCTGACGGGTTACACCCTCCCTCAGGGGCGGACTGACAACTCATGGGGCCCCCGGGCAATCGGGGATCATGGGACCCCTGTGTCCTTGCCCAAACTCAAAAAAGCCTATGAAAAAGGCTCCCTACAGACCCCGGGCCCTCAGGCAGTGCCCAAGTTTCCAAATGGTCAGTCCGCCCCTGCCCTCCCTTACTCTATCCAAAATGAAAAATATAAATTCCTTTAAAGACAGAGTTTTTGCTAATGGTAACCAATCGGGTTTTGCATATTATGAAAAAAATAAAAATAAATTCTGATTGGTTGCTTTTATTTGAATTTCCCCAATTTTAACCTCTCCAATAATTAATCAATACAACCAGGGGCGGACTGACAACTCATGGGGCCCCCGGGCAATAGGGGATCATGGGGCCCCTGTGTCCTTGCCCAAACTCAAAAAAGCCTATGAAAAAGGTACCAGGGGCATCTCATGGGGCCCCCTACTGACCACGGGCCCGAGTTTCCAAATGGTCAGTCCGCCAATGAATACAACTGAATACATTGACCATAGAATCGATTTAAAGCAGATATTTTAAAACCTCAATGAATACAGTTATATATTTCTTTAAAAAATTATTAAATGTATTTTAATTACAACTAATGTATTTGCATATCTTAACATAACACACACATACATCAACATAATTACATTTTATGACTTAATTTCAACCTCTTATAATCCAGAATTGGGGTCTCCAAACTAAGGCCTGCAGGCCACAACTGGCCCACTGCAAGATTTTATCCGGCCCACAGCTAGGGTCAGGGACGTATCCTTAGGCTGGCCATACATGGGTCGATTTCCAGATCAGACCTAAGAATAATCGGCCGATTTTGCACTCTGTTAGTGGGGTAATGGCACTGGCTGATTTTCGTGGTTCCTCCCTATTTCATTTATCAGGCATGCTGGAAAATTTGTGAAAAACAACCGATTTTCAAAATCATTGGTGGCACCATCGGAATACAGAACGAACTATGTTTTCGGTTTTCGATCGAAAAATCGTTTGAAATTCGACCCATGTATGGCCTGCTTTAATGTGCACAGATTGAGAATTAAGGTCAGCAGAGGCTGCCTAAGGTCTCCACTTTAGTCCCCCCACATGTAACGGGGGACTCTGTTGAGGACTCTAATGTAAGAGGGGGACTCTGACGTAAGGGGGAGGGGCTTGGACAGGAACTCTGATGTAAGGGGGGCTTTGATGGGGACTATAATGTAAGGGATATTTGATGGGAAATATGATGTAAAGGGGGATCCTATATCAGGGGGACTCTGTTGAGGATCCTGATGTAGAGGGGGCTCTTATGGGGACTCTGAAGGGGACCCTGATGTAGGGGGTCTCTCTCTGAAGGGAACTCCTATGTAAGGGGGACTCTGATAGCGACCCTGATGTAAGGGTAACTTTGATGGGAACCCTGAAGTAGAGGAGGCTTTGATGGGGACTCTAAAGGGGACTCTGATGTCGGGTGGCTGTGAAGAGAATTTCTATGTAAGGGGGGACTCCGATGGGGACTATGATGGGAACCCAGATGTAAATAAGGCTCTAAAGGGGACAATAATGTAAGGGGGGCTCTGATGGGGACTCTGATGTAAGGGGGGCTCTGAAGGGAACCCAGATGTAGAGGGGGCTATGATGGGGACTCTAAAGGGGACTCTGATGTAAGGGGGACTCTGAAGGGAACCCAAATGTAAATGGGGCTCTAAAGGGGACCCTAATGTAAGGGGGGCTCTGATGGGGAATCTGATGTAAGGGGGGCTCTGAAGGGAACCCAGATGTAGAGGGGGGTTACGATGGGGACTCTGAAGGGGACGCTGATGTAAGGGGTACTCTGATGGGGAATCTGATGTAAGGGGGGGGCTCTGAAGGGAACCCAGATGTAGAGGGGGCTATGATGGGGGCTCTAAAGGGGACCCTGATGTAAGGGGGACTCTGATGGGGAATCTGATGTAAGGGGGGCTCTGAAGGGAACCCAGATGTAGAGGGGGCTATGATGGGGACTCTAAAGGGAATCCTGATGTAAGGGGGACTCTGATGTAAGGGGGGCTCTGAAGGGAACCCAGATGTACAGGGGGTTATGATGGGTCTCTAAAAGGGACCCTGATGTAAGGGGGGCTCTGAAGGGAACCCAGATGTAGAGGGGGTTATGATGAGTCTCTAAAAGGGACCCTGATGTAAGGGGGACTCTGATGTAAGGGGGGCTCTGAAGGGAACCCAGATGTAGAGGGGGTTATGATGGGTCTCTAAAAGGGACCCTGATGTAAGGGGGACTCTAATGTAAGGGGAGGTCTGAAGGGAACCCAGATGTAGAGGGGGTTATGATGGGGACTCTGAAGGGGACCCTGATGTAAGGGGGCTGTGATGGAGACTCTAAACAGGATCTATTTGTGGTGCCATATTGTCTGTATTTTTTCTTACATGTGATGCAGGAGAACAGTGTAGAGTTTGAGGCCTGTCTGGTGGCGCAGTGTGACGCCCTGATCGATGCCCTAAACAGGAGGAAGGTCCAGCTTCTCGCCCGGGTGAACAAGGAGCACGAACACAAACTGAAGGTGGGTGACGTACTGGAAACCTGTGTCCACACCAAAGTTACCATGGATGTCAATCCAAAGACATTTGGGGAAGATTTACTAAACCTGGAACACTCAGAATCTGCTGCAGCTGTACATGGCAGCCAATCAGCTTCTAACTTCAGCTTGTTCAGTTAAGCTTTGGCAATATAACCTGAAAGCTGATTTTGCACTCTCCAGTTTTAGTAAATACCTTTAAATACATCAAGGGGGTGAATAAGGTTCAGGAGGACAGGATTTTCAACATGAAACCAAAATCAAGAACACGGGACATGACCTCCAACTAACTGGAGGAAAGTTCAACACGAATCTCAGAAAGTACTATTGTACAGAATGAGTAGTTGATTCTTGGAATGAACTTCCAGCAGAGGTAGTGAGACAATCAACAGTAAACAGCTAACAACATGCTTGGGACAAACATAGATCTATAGTCACACAAAAAAGTTAACAAAACCAATTGGAAAAAAAAAAAAAAACCTGAGATTTATTTTTCTTAATAAAAACTTTGTATTTTGTGGATTGCCTGTTCCGGCCCAAAAGGGCTGCAGTTTGTATGGGATGGAGGTGTGTGTGGGGGCGGGGAGGGGGGTGGAATAGATGTTCATCTTCTCTGTACCGATTTGTAATTTCTTTTGAAAAAGGAATAAACACTATTGGGGGAAAAAAAAAAAAAAATAACCTAAACAACCCCCCCCCCCCCCCAAAAAAAATAATAAAAAAAACAGGCAGACTTGATAGACCACTCAGTCTCTTTCTGCCATCACTTTTCTATGTTTCTATAATAAGTCTGCGTAGCCTCCCTGGTGGTATTCCTGAGCGTAGGTCGGGATAAAGTTTCAGCACCACAAGCGGTAACCCCGAGCTACACTCGGGAATATCCTGCAGCGGGATCTGCCCTTCTCTTACCTTGTCCTGCGCTCCTGCGATGTCCCTCCTGCAGTGTCCCCTGTAATGTCCTCCGGCCGATGCCGGCATCTGTCATCTGGGTTCCGTCCCCTGCGAGCGTCGGGACGGAATGGCGGGAAATTTGAAAATGACAAAAAGTGACTAAATTCACTAAAATCACATAGTATAACATTCCTGTATCAAACCATTTCACCTACATTCTGTCCCGAGTGCTTTGTCCTGCGCCCTGCCTGCATTTTTACTGTTCTTTCTGCCTGGAAACTGAGAAACGTCCATGGCGTCCAAAAAGCGTCCCTTTAGGTCAAAAGAGGTTTTAGACCGGCTAGAGAACAGCGATAGTAAATCAGAACCACTTGCAGAATTGAGTGATAATGATTCGTGGGGGAAATTCATCATCAGACACTGAAAACAACTTTGCGACTTTGCTCAGCGATGTGCGAACTTGGCGCTCTATTTCAAATTTCAGTGTTTTTGGTTTGATTATATTATTGAATTAAATTTATTATTATTATATTATTATTTTTTTTATGATTATTTATTAAATTATAATTTATGATTTCGTGTTTCAAGTTTTATCATGCCCGGGATGTTTACTAGACTCTTGTTCAGACAGATTTCAGTGAGTTATTCCTAAGAATTACAGGCCTACAATAAAAAAAATATATATTTCCATGCAAAAAAATGTACCGCTTTGAGCACAGAAATATGGACATAATCAGACCGCTAGGGAGTTTAAAGCGGAGTTCCACCCAAAAGGGGAAGTTCCGCTTTAAAGATCGGTCCCCCGCTCCCCATTAAGGATTGGCACCTTTGGGGAGCGGGTACCCGAATTTGACAGGTACCCACTCCCACTTCCGCTGCAATCGCCTAGGCGATCAGAAGCGGAAGTTGTCCTCCTCCCCTCTCTCCCCATAGTCTTCTGGGACATGTGACAGGTCCCAAAAGACTACGGGGCCATTCAGGAAACTCACCGCTTCTCACGCATGCGCAGTGGGCACCCGGCTGTGAAGCCGCAAGCTGTCACAGCCAGGTGCCCACACTGAAGATGCCAGCACATGGAATACAGGACGGCCAGTGAAACGGGCTGCGACGGGGGCACCGCTGGACAGGTGAGTGTCAGTTTTTTAACAGTCAGCAGCTACAGTTTTTGTAGCTGCTGACTTTTATTTTTTTACTGAGTGAGTGGAACTCCGCTTTAAACTTCACTTTCTATTCAAGTATTTTATGTATTTTTAACTCAGGAAAGTCTCTTCCATTGCTCTCACCCTTCTCCAAATCTCCAAACGTAGTATCACTTTCATTTTGTGATGATAATAATAATAATTAATTGTGTCATAAGCAACTGCCTTTCTTAATAGTATACTTCATAATTTCTTCATCCTTTGTCACATCAGTGCTGCTGATCGCACGCAGCCTCTTTGCAGCCATTTCCTGCCTACATGTATTCCAGCAAAGGTCACATGGCATTTTTTCGGACGGGTTTCCTGATGGTGATAACAAAGTACTATGTCTGTTCAATGTGCATCAGTAACACTGTAGTTTCCATTGGGGGAGCTTGTGACGATGACAACTCATGAGAACAATCAGGAGACAGAAAAAGAGTGTTGTCATCCTGTAGCAGGAAATGCCTGAACAAGGATCTTCATGGTAGGATCATCAGGTATTATTTTAATGAAAGTTGCAGATTTTAAAACATTAAAAATTACTTTTTAAATGACATTAGCATGTTAAGGTTTTTGGATTTGAGATTTTAGTGACTACGTTTAAATATACTTTCTTGTTAAGAGAACCTTTTACCCTTAATCCAATAAATACAGTGCAGTGCCTCGTTGACTAGTCCATATACTAGTCCATATACTAGTCCATATACTAGTCCATATACTAGTCAATATACTAGTCCATATACAGCAGCATGCAAGGGTGTCTCCTTAGGAGCCTGCTGGGTAAAGGAGACACCCACAAAACAGAACGCAGGAGCCTTGATTTGGGGGCCAGCCTAACATAAAGGAAAGGCATAATTTAAAGGAAGAAGACTAAACATCTAAAGCAGTCTCTATCAAAACCTTTTTACACGGAGGAACCCTTTAAAGTGTTACTAAACCCACAAATAGTAAAATCAGTCTGTATATGCAGTAAAGCATGCTTGTTATACTCACTGTGGAACCTAAGGGGTTAATCCACTGCATTGTGTAAAAAGGCTGTTTGATCCTGTCTTCTCTGATCCTGCTCTTCTTCTACTGTCCCCAATCCATCTGCTGATAGTACAGAGCCTTGGGGGCAAGCTGCAAATGCTCAGTTTGGTGGGTATTGCTAGAGAGTATTTTTTTTCTTGGGAGAGTGCATGTGATCAGCACAGGACCAATCAGCGTTGTGCAGACAGAGGGTCAGAGGTCCTGCAGCCTCATAGGACAATCAGGGTAAAATGAAAACTCCTTCTACAATCTTTAGCCAGTGCTCTGCTGGACACTGATATAAGTCACAAGACTGTTTTATACTGCTGATGAGAAAAGGTATTTAGCAGTTTTTTATATTTACTAAAATAATTGCATTTTCACGTTCTCTGTACTGTGGGAGACCAGATATAGTGAATGCAGGGCCCGGGGAGACCAGATATAGTGGATGCAGGGTCCTGGGAGACCAGATATAGTGAATGCGGGGTCCGGGGAGAGTAGATGTAGTGAATGCAGGGCCCAGGGAGATCAGATATAGGGAATGCAGGGCCCAGGGAGACCAGATATAGTGAATGCAGGGTTCGGGGAGATCAGATATAGTGAATGCAGGTTCCAGGGACACCATATATAGTGAATGCAGATATCAGATATAGTGAATGCAGGGCCCGGGGAGATCAGATATAGTGAATGCAGGGTCCTGGGAGACCGGATATAGTGAATGCAGGGTCCTGGGAGACCGGATATAGTGAATGCAGGGTCCGGGGAGACCGGATATAGTGAATGCAGGGTCCGGGGAGATCAGATATAGTGAATGCAGGGTCCAGGGAGATCAGATATAGTGAATGCAGGGTCTGGGGAGACCAGATATAGTGAATGCAGGGTCCTGGGAGACCAGATATAGTGAATGCGGGGTCCGGGGAGAGTAGATGTAGTGAATGCAGGGCCCAGGGAGATCAGATATAGGGAATGCAGGGCCCAGGGAGACCAGATATAGTGAATGCAGGGTTCGGGGAGATCAGATATAGTGAATGCAGGTTCCAGGGACACCATATATAGTGAATGCAGATATCAGATATAGTGAATGCAGGGCCCGGGGAGATCAGATATAGTGAATGCAGGGTCCTGGGAGACCGGATATAGTGAATGCAGGGTCCTGGGAGACCGGATATAGTGAATGCAGGGTCCGGGGAGACCGGATATAGTGAATGCAGGGTCCGGGGAGATCAGATATAGTAAATGCAGGGTCCGGGGAGATCAGATATAGTGAATGCAGGGTCCGGGGAGACCGTATATAGTGAATGCAGGGTCCAGGGAGACCAGACATAGTGAATGCAGGATCCGGGGAGACCGGATATAGTGAATGCAGGGTCCGGAGAGACCGGATATAGTGAATGCAGGGTCCGGGGAGACCGGATATAGTGAATGCAGGGTCCGGAGAGACCGGATATAGTGAATGCAGGGTCCGGGGAGACCAGATATAGTGAATGCAGGGTCTGGGGAGACCAGATATAGTGAATGCAGGGTCCTGGGAGAGTAGATATAGTGAATGCAGGGTCCTGGGAGACCGGATATAGTGAATGCAGGGTCCTTGGAGACCAGATTTAGTGAATGCAGGGTCCTGGGAGACCGGATATAGAGAATGCAGGGTCCTTGGAGACCAGATATAGTGAATGCAGGGTCCGGGGAGACCAGATATAGTGAATGCAGGGTACGGGGAGACCAGATATAGTGAATGCAGGGTCTGGGGAGACCAGATATAGTGAATGCAGGGTACAGGGAGACCAGATATAGTGAATGCAGGGTCCGGGGAGACCAGATATAGTGAATGCAGGGTTCGGGGTTTAGTACCTTTTAAATGACTTCCCGGTCTCAGGGAACCCCCACTTATAATTGCTATATGTAAAG